CCCCCCCCCAGAGACCCCCGTAGGGGCCCCAAAGGGACCCACCCGACCCTGGGTCTTCCCTCACCCCCTACAAAGACCTCCATGGAGACCCCCATAGGGCCCCCAGCCCTGGGACCCTCCTCACCCACATAAGGACCCCCATAGGGCCCTGGGACCCCCCACCCACCCACATAGGGACCCCCAGAGGGCCCCTGGGACCCCCCCAGAGCCCTGGGATCCCCTCTCATCCACACAGGGACCCCACGGGGACCCCCTGGCCCAGGGATGCAGGGGGTCTGGGTGCTGGGCAGGGCCAGCCCTAGGGCTGGGGGGTGCTGAGCCCTCCCTGGTGCCCCCCCAGCTGTGGGCCATGAGGCGCCGGGGGGAGCGGGCGCCCAGGGAGAAGGCGGCGGTGGCGGCTGCGGAGGAAGAGATGAAGAGCGCGGGGAGGAAGGCCGAGCAGGGCGCAGGTGAGCCCCCGGCCCTGGCAGGGGTTGGGGGGCTGCGGGGGTCCCCCTTATGTCCCCCCACTCCTGCCTGCCCTGCCCGCAGAGGAGTACCCGTGCACCGGCCTCCTGGAGCAGGACTTTCCCGAGCTCTGCGCCCGGGCTGGCATCACCGGCGTCCCCAGAGTCACCCTCCGGCCGGCCGCGAGCTTCCCTGCGGATGGTGAGCGGGGCCGGAGGACATCGGGGTGCGGGGGGGGGCTGCTGGCAGCCCCCCCCCCCACCCCACCCTCGTCCCCGGCCCGCAGAGGAGCCGGCCGAGCCGACGCTGACGGAGGTCCTCGCCCGCATCGAGCGCAAGTACAGCCGCTTCCAGCCCTGCGTCCAGGTGGAGAGGGAGCAGGAGGAGCCCCGCAGCGTCCGCGCCGTCTTCCTGCGAGGTGGGTCCTGGGGAGCCCCAGGGTCCCCCTGGCACCCAGGGACGAGGAGCCCCTGGAAATCAGCCTGTGGGACCCCCCCCCGGGCGCCTCCCGGACACTCTCGGGAGGGGAATGGCCACATTTGAGGGCTCTTCCCCCCTATCCCATCGTGCGGCCTTGATCTCCCCGTCTCCGGCAGGCTGGAAGATCGAGGAGAAGATGCTGGGGGTCCTGAGCCAGTGCCTGCCCGCCCTGGCCGGCCTGCAGGCAGTGCAGTGAGTGTGGGCAGGGAGGGGGGCGCAGGCAGCCCCCCGAAATGCCGCCGTGTCCCCTCTCCGGCAGCGGGTCCCGATGCCGCTTTGTCCTCCCGCAGCCTCTGGAAGGTCGGGCTGACGGAGCGGCTGCGCCCGGCGCTGGCGGCGCTGCTGGCGCGCTGCCCCGGCCTCCGGTACGCGGGGTGCTCCCTCGGTATCGCTAACTGAGGAACGGGGGTGCCGGGGAGGATCGTTAACGCCGGCCGGGGGGGTTTTCCTCCGCAGGACGCTCAGCCTGGAGGGGAACCCCTTGCCCGAGCCCGCCTTCCACACGCTGATGGGGAGCGACAGCACGTGAGTCGGAGCTGGAGCCGGATCGAGCCCCGCTCGTCCCCCTGCCCCGCTCGGCCGGGACCCTCGGCGCACCCCCTGCCTGCCGCGAAGCCCCCCGGGCGCAGGCAGCGAAGCCCACCCCATCCCGCAGGCTGGCCCACCTCTCGCTGCGCCACAACGGCATCGGGGACGCGGCCGCCCGGCTCATCGGGCAGAGCCTTTCCACCCTGAGCTCCTCCAACCGCAGCCTGGTCTCCCTCGTCCTCAGCTTCAACCGCATCTCGGACCTGGGAGCCGGCTACATCGCCACGGTGGGCAGCGGGAGGGCGTGGGGCTCGGCTGGGTGCCCAGCACCCTGCTCCCCAGCACCCATCCTGTCCCTTGGCCCCCCAGGGTTTGCGCCTGAACC